TTTGGATGAGTGAGGGGTGCCAAGTGGGAGGTGGAGGAGAGAGAGTGGACTTTTTCTTCTCCCCCGCCGCCACTCATATCATCACAATCACCGACATCACCACTTTCACATTTTTCTTATTCATTTGTTATTTTTAAAATTTACCCACAAAAAAAGCAGACACAGAGTGAGGCAGTGAGTGAAAGCAGCACATATATATCAACTTCTAACTGCCACACCTATTCCTTCAATTCCAAGCCAAGTAATCCAATTAATCTCCTTTTTGCTTATTCATTCTTTCCCTAACAAACCTTTTAAAACACGTGTGCTTATTTCAATACTAATTATGAGCTTTGAAGATCATCTTACTACATCTTTACTTTTTACCTCAAAATATGTCTAATAAAAATAATACCATGATACACTAGGATAGGAATGCCCTCTTGGACCATTAAATTTTCTAATACTTGCTGATATAAATTTTTTAAAGAATCAAAGTCAAGATTAGGAAAGATTGGTACTAGTTGGATTAGATCAATATCCAAATTGATCAATGTCGTGCTTCGCCTACGTGTCGTGCTCGAGACAAATTCAAATTTTCTTACTCGATCATCATTGTCTGCTTTCTAGGCCAGGACTAATTTATTAAGGTAGACCTCGACTAATGTTTCCGCTTATGTCCACTATTAGTTTATTAAGGTAGTGTAACAGAGGACTTCCTCGCAAGAAGCTTTATAGTCGCSCAAAATTTGTAAGATATTAAATCTTCGGATAGGCGGTCACCTAAATTTATAGCTTATGTTTAATAGGAAAATAATAAAATAAATTATAAAAAAAAAGTAATAATAATACTCTATATGAATAATCAAACCAAAAAGGGATATGCAACAATTCTTGCTGGATAATAGCTTTGCTTCCCAATTAGATTTATGTGTTCTTTCACTTGACTTTCTATTCGTTCTCAATTATTCTTCTATGATTTTTTGTTTGGAAAGTATTTTCAAAGATATATTTCATGTGTTTTTTACTTAAATAAAATATCTTTAAAGACATCCTAAATGTGAATGTGGGGTATTAGGGTCAATCAAACTATGAACAATTGGAACCAAACATCACTTCTGAAATATACAGTTTTTATTTTATTTTTTTGTAAGTGACTTTGGTGTGTATTTGTTATTGCTTTAATTTCATTTAGGAGATTATGGGCTCCCTCAGGACTTCTGAGCCCAATTTCATTTAATTAGTTAAGCTAGAAAGAAACACACACTTTTTAATAGATAGAAGCAAAACTGATTTAATAGAAACTTTCAAAAAATATTAAACTGCATAAAACTAATATTTTCATGTCTGTTTAATTTTGTCATAATCACAGGGTTGAGGCCCATATTATTATATTTCTATTTTTTCATAAACTTTTTTTTTTTTGCTTTGTTAATTGTAAAATTTCCATCAAGTTCAAATTTTGAACACCTCCTTTTATCTTTTTTGTTTTTTGAAAAACAAACAAAGCTAGTAATTATGGCATAAAGGAAAGAAAAAAAAGGGTAAAATAATATAATAACTCTCCTTAACAATTAGTTCAAAATAATAATTACTTTTTTTATTACAGTAAATGTTTAAATAATTACTCAAGGCAAGATTACACGGTTTGAGGGTGGAATTGATGTGGTAGAGATGAGATAAGATTTTTAGGAAGAGTAATTACAAAGTTTGAAGTAAGTCTCAAGTTGATTTAATTCCTGCAATTTAGTAAACATATAAAAGCAAATAAAAATTTTGATTCTCATTCCACTAAAGTACGGACCTTATTTCATTCAACAGCATGAGATCTAACTAATTTAATCGACTTTGACTTTAATTTGATGAATCATGTAGACAACAATAATATATTCTATAATAATCATATATACACTTCGCAGTTTGCTTTATGTACATACCATATATTATATATGAAGCATTTTTAATCATCGTTAATGTATTCCTTCAGCTATTAATAATATGTATGGAGAATTTGTGAACTTTAGGGGGGTAAATACTGTAATTATTTTATTTTTACAAAGGAATAATTATGAGATAAAGTTAATATGAATGCTGAAAATCAGATATATATGCTAACAAAAGTCACCCCATACAAATATAATGATTCAGATAACAGTAGCTGAGACCATAACTAGTAAGAAAAATATTCTTGAGAATCACCCAAACCCTTTCTGGGTATGAACGCATTAATTCTTGACTTGGTCCTCACCCAAATCAAAGACATTTTAGAAACATTACTATATAAACAGAGGGCATTGCAGTAAAAAAAATGCCTAATTCAAGCCCCCCGGTATGTGTTTATACCACGTTATAGTAAAGTTTGACCATTGACTTTTGCCTTATAAATACATTAGCAGCAGCTAGAATCCACATCTCATAAATTGTACCCAAAAATGATATGTGCTTAGTTGTACTTTGTGATTTATATCTTTTAATTTAGATACTTAAAAAAATCTTACCTAAACCAAGCTCAACACCGGTTATAGTATGTCTGAGCAGAAGAAGGTTGTGAGTTCGAATCTCCCACCTTTAAACGTTCTACCAAAAAAACCAATTAGAAAAGATACAATTATATGTATTAGATATTAGATATGATAAAAACAGCCCAAAATGTGTTCTGTTTGATTTATATTAAATAATAAATAAAAACGTTTTAGTCTAATTAACATTATTGACGTGATTAAATTCATATGTCGGTTGGTCTGAATATACAAGCAAAAAGGTGAAGTATAAAGTCAATAAGCCAAATGGGAATATATATGTGTATATATATGTATTATTAATTAATATATGATATTTAGGTAGAGTTTTATAACTTCCATAATTAACCATGCAACGTGACAAACCCAGAAAGTCTTCAGTTTAGTAATTAAGTTGACTTTCGGTTCATTGCATGCATTTTCCTTCCTTCATCTAATTAACCTCCCATTCTAGTACTAATACTCATACTTATACTATTACTACTACAGACGATTTATGCAGCTCTCAGCTAGATAGCTCCTGAATTAATTTGCTGCTAATTAACTGTTGATTAAGTATCGAAGTTGACGAGGGATCTGTAAGTCTGGCCGGGCTTCCACCCAGCCGGAATTACGTTGTTAGCGACGACAGTCTTGCCGGAGTCGAGGGAAGTGAGCTTGAGGGAGAATGGAGCCTGTAGGGCGGAGCCGGAGTCCAGCTTCCAGACCGCACCCCATGACTGCTGCATCGGAGTCCAGGAGTAGGAATCCAAAGCTTGTTTCAGCTCCACTGAACCAACATCTCCATCTCCATCTCCATATTCGATTAGAGCTGCAAAATAGTTGGAGTTCGAACCCGAGTCCACCACGAAGTTTATCGACCTGCCCGGATAGTTGCATTCCACCCTCCACATAATTAAATTAAATGTTAAATCACCCATCAACTCCAAAACTTAAACTGACCGATAAGAAGGACTCTTGTTATAGTTAATAATTACCTTTTATGTTGAATCTGCAAAACCCCTAGGTTTCGTAGTTCATCAGCCCGCCCAGCTGCAGCCATAGCTCCAAAAGCGGTGCCACTGAGGTCGAAATGGACAGAGTCAGAAGCACAGGACCCACCGGGACAACTATCGGTTATAACCACCGTCACCGGATTCCCTGAGCAAGCTGCTTTTTCCGAGCACTTCACCTGAATAAATAACATATATTTATCATTAATTAAACTGGAGAGAGGTCGGTTAATGGGTATTTTTAATTTATCCTTTCAAAAAGGTTGAAAGGCACGTAACAAATTAATTAAAGTTTTTATTAGACATGTTATCAGACATGGAATTCTAGTGATATCTTACCGGAACCCAGCTCAAATTGATTATTCGGTTTTAAAATGAGATCGGTTCAAGATGGGTGACCCTAAAATGAACTATTGTCTTAAGGGGAATTCCATGAATATGGATACCTGATAACAAGCTCCACATGCCTTCCCTGATTTGTACAGGGAAGGGCCTCCTGCTGCTATCAATGACGAAAAGGGCGGTTGCTCCACGGCTTCCCCATACCCGCATGCACCTCCTGAACATAGTACAACAACTAATTAAGACACATTACATTACTTCTGTTAGGTATTTAAGATTATTAAAATTGGTATGGAGTATAATATATACCATCGCTTCCAGCACCGTCACGGCTACCGTACCAGGTGGCGACGGCAGGCGACCAATCGGAATCGGGGGACTGGTACATAGACACATTAAAGGATTTGGGATGGAAGGAAAAGGAAGGAGTAATTAGTGAAACAGAAAGAAGGGCTGCAAAGAAGAAGAGAGAATAATAATGGTGAAAATGTGGCATATTGAAATTCGGAGAACGCAGGCGTTGGGACGTTTCTGAAGAAGGTGCTGTGAGCTGTGTGTGTAACTGCTAGCTGCGTCTGTGGGACTCAATGGAACAATTGTGGGCTATTTATAGAGGCCGGGGGCAGCAGCACCACCACTGAAGAACGGGCGTGGCTTTCCAATGGCCGCGTCATCACTTTACGGGATTTGTATTTTCTTAGTCTTGGGGATAATAAATATTTTTCGGCGCCTGACGTATTTCAAAAAAGTGATATTTATTCACTCAACCTCACTGTTTTTACATTTTAATTAATTACTTAAAACTTGAGTTTAATTAAGAGATCGTGCCTATTTATTGTATTAAAATAAATTAATTACCTAAATTATGCCTATGTAATTTTATAGTAATTGAGTCAAGTCGACCTTAATTATTTTCTATAAAAAAAGAAAGAAATATGAAGATGAGATTGAGGATATTCATAACCTAACCCTCCCCCAATTAATGATATAATCAACGTAATTTTCCATCCAAAAAAAAAGAAAAGAAAAGAAAATTGTGGAACCCTCATCGATCTCACATCTATGACACTATCCCATTCTAAAGTTACATTCTAATATATATGTTGGAGTCCTTTGATATAAGTACAATATTGTGTGTGATGCAAATATATTTTTTTTAATTCGAATACAGTGTAAATACTCAACGTAATCAAATATACATGATAAGTAAAACTACTAACTGCCCACGTGTACACACACAAATATGCAGTTTTTCAAGATTTAAGGTAGTGGATGTCCGGATGAATTAAAACACTGGTGATATTAATATTAATTTCGATATTTGTTTGTTTTTCTTATATCTAAAAGACGTTTAATTAACTATAAACACCCTAAAAACATGAAGAGCATTACTTATAGTTAATTAGTAAAAAAAAAGGTTCAAAGATTATATTGAGATCGAACAGTACTGGTCCAAATAATTTTGTTTTTTCATCTTAATCAATTCACGATTTAATTGTACAACTGCAAAAATTGTCTACTTTTAGTCTTATGGTTGATTGGGGTCTAAACCTAAGCCTAAAGGCATCCTAATCATGCATTATAAGCATTATTAGATATATCAAACTAAATTATTAATCAACGGTTTAAATAATTTATTCTACCATTTTATATATAATTGAAATACTTTTGCATATTTATAAAAAAGATAGTTAGCAATATTAAGCCTCCATCTTGGAACTCAAACGAAAATGAGGCTTTCAAATTTGACTCAGAAAGGACAGCACTAAAACTGCAAATTAAAGGTTATCCCTTGCCGGCCAAAAAATCTCTCTCTCTGCAACCGAAAGCAATTTTGGTTTTATTCAATTTGGTTGCAGAGGTTTTTCAAAATTCAAGGCATATTATCCCTTGCAATTTTCTACTAATTAATATATATTTCCTATGAATTTGTGTTTTTATGTGAAATGTGTTGGAAGGTGATATCAAATTTATAAATGGGGTTAATGTTAGCAACAAAGAATAAGATCCAAAGAAACTTTTACAAAAATTGAAAATCAGAATTATATAAAACAAGACCYATAAATAAAGGGAGATTTAAAYTATGGGTGAAAGCGAAAGGAGGCGTTCGTTAATGAAGCCGTTAATGGAGGTTATTAAGGCGTTGAATATCTGATTCCCGATGTCCCATCTTACGCCCCAAAACAGTCCACCATTTTCKCACGTGCCACTCCTTATCCTTCCCTTCCAATTTTCAATTTTCTTCGCGTAACATTTGCCGTTAATTTGGTTTTCCTTTTCCCTTCCCAATATTAATTTTTATTTTTCTACTCTCTCCCCCATCTTTAAATCGTTTTCTCACTCTCTCTCTTTAAAATATATATACTATATAATCATTTTCAACTTTATCTC